CAGAAACGTCTCAGTGCACATTTCTGCCTTTTTCCGTGCATCTTTCTGTAACCGTGCACAAAAATGTCAAAAGATTTTTTAGTGCACGGAAAACAGCAAACCGTGCATAATTCTGGAAAAAACCGTGTACAGAAAAATCCTCGTCCACATTTTATTTGTATAAGGAACGAGAGAATATATACATTCCAAATTGAGAACGCCTTTTCTATTTCTAGATTAAGATCACTTTTTAAATCTAATTAATAATCATCAAAACAAAGTGGTCTCAATCATGAAGCTTCGGATAAAAAAAACTTTTTTGAAATACCATATGTATTTGTAATTTTTTGCATGTAATGTCAGATATATATAGATCACAATTTACTATTGAACAGTTTAGCAATTCACCGCCGTATACATCGTATGACGTATTCATGTCATATATTTCAGCATGTGTGCCAGTGAATGTGTTAATATGACCATTCTCTTTACAATCTTCTGAAATTGGAAATCTGAAACGTTCTCTTTTGGTATTTTCATTTCAATTCTAACCGTTCTCTAATAATTCTAAATTTAACCATAAATAGGCCATCGTTCTCTTTTCAGCCCTAATTCCGTTCTCCAAAACATTCTTGTCCAATACGTAGCACACTGTTTTTATTTATGTTAAAGAAAAGACACGAATACTGCATAAATTCAACAGAAAAATAGTGGCAGTTGGAAAAATTATAAAGGAAACATATTCGACACTTTTGATGCAGCGAAATTGACAAAAAACTAAAATTCAGTTCATTATAAAAGTATTATTTTCAATTTGACTGCTATTCTTCGTCGATGTTCAGCGTTTAGCCTTTTCTTCCGGATTTTTTCACAGGTTTTTCATCTTCCTCATCATCGTCTACATGAAGGCATACACTTTTAAATAGTTTTTACATATGTAAGAGAAATTCAATGTACACAAATGTTAGGTGCAAATTGAAAGATCAATCAGTAAACCTCACAAATATCAGCTGTTTTAAATACGGTATTCTCAAAACGAACAAAGTTTACATGGATCATATCAGGGTGGTTATATGAAAAGAACGATATGTTAATTGAAAGAAGATGTGATTACAGTAACAATTCTGTCATTTTCTACAAGAGCTTTCACAGAGACGTATCTTAAATTAAATCAAAGAACGCTCCAAGTTGCGCATATGAAAAAAATTATGACTAGATATACAAACGGATAATGATAGTGTTATCTAATTATTCTCAACAATCTAAAATAATTGTCAAAAAATTTTGAAAAAGGAATTTTCACTTACCATCATCTTTTTGGTCATCCTGCTTATCATCATCTAAATATATTAAACCAGAAATTATAAAAGTAGTTACAGTGTCTTGAAATATTATTAGTCTTAACCATCATTATCATCTAATTAAGAAACTAGTGATAAAATTATTGTAATATACAACAGTACTGGAAAAAATTATAAGAATATTCCTCTCTCTTTTGACTTTTTTCTCTCCGAGAGCTAAAATTTCAGAATGATCAGAGTAACTGAAGAATTTCGTTATCAGGAGAGATAAAAGTAAAATTCCTTTAAAACTTCTGAGTTTCTGACATACTCAAATGCTGGAAAACTATGCCTTAGTTTTCGTATTGAGATTTTTTCATGGTATTCCCAACGATCTACAAAAATGTCGTGGAGAACTGGATGATGTTCCATTTTGTTCAACACCGTTCACTCTACGCAGGTATCCTGTCGGAAAAATTTTCGGTGCAGATACCGAAACATAGTTTTCATGAGTTTTGATTTTACTAAAACCTCATTTTTCAGTAATTTTTAAGTATTTTGATCTCTCTCGACAGGGAAGTCTTTTAGCTACTCAAATCACTTTGGGAATCTGTTTTTAGACCTTCGATTGAGGGAAAAAAATCAGAAGGGATCTGTCCTTGTAACTTTTTCCAAAACTGTACAGAGAGAGTATTAACCATCATCTTCGTTATCGTCTCCTAGAAACAAAACGTAATACGTGTTATTGTGAACTATATCGCTAACTGTTACTATTTTGTGCAAATCATTACTTACCTTTTTTCGATAATTCACTATCATTTTTTCCTTTTGAATTGTCATCGTCATCTAAGCATAGAAAAAATAAGTTTTACAGAAGTTGAACATATACCAATCAAAATGCATATAACAAACCATCATTATCATCATCTGTAAATTAAACGAAAAAGTTTAAATAATACTTGAATTAAATTAGAAATAGTATACGAACCATCATCGTCTAAATTTAAAAAAAATTGAAACGTGTTTTTTTTTCAAGGATAAAATATTTTATGTGAGTACTAACTAATAATAGTAAGTAAAAAATTTCTTTTGAAATTACACATTCGTGTGTAGGAAAAGAAGATATATTGAGTATAAGGGACTCAGTATCTCTTACCATCATCATCATCAGCATCAGCATCATCATCATCACCATTTTTTCCTTTGTTTTTGACTTCCCCTTTTGTGGTCGATTTACTATGATCTAATTTTTCATCATCATCGTCTAGAATATTCATCAGTAACTTTAAAATGTTCATACACTCTGAAGATGTTTAATAAATTATTCACCGTTATTGTCGTCTAGAGAACAAAACATTCGTATTACATATACAATTCAAGAATATTTTCGATTCAGTTGATTATTATTTAAGTGAGCTAAGAAGTCGTCTGCAGCTTTTCATAGTTCAGTAAAGAAACGAACTTTTAATAACGGATGTTGGTAGAAAGAGCATTAATGACAGTGAAGAAAATATTGCCTATAGGCTATGAATAAGAGTGGCTATTTTCATTTCGAGCTTTGGAATATTGTTCATCTGCAGTTAAACCGAAAAATACACAATTTTTTCAAAAAATTAATAAATAGATTATTAAACTCAAGATTCTAACAATAAAATAATATTCACCGTTTTGAAAGCGTTTTATTTTTGGTGTTTGAGTGATGATGAACAATGTACCTATGTTCAGAAACTCGGGACTGAAATTATCCACTCTCATTCGTAGCCTATTAACGATCCTTGAAAACGAAATCGAGTATTTCTATTGATAGCTATGAATCACACCAAATATTTTACCGTCATCATCATCATCATCATCATCAACGTTATCATCAGCATCAGCATCAGCATCACTGTCTTTCTTTGAACTTTTGTATTTTGATGATTTATTTATTCTGGTCGCTAAAACAAGAAACACACATCCACATCCACACATTGACATTAAATAAAATAAAAACAGATTGTTAAAAAGATTTCATACCTGTTGTTTGTCCTGAATCATCATCCTCGGTATCTAAAATACAAAACAGACTTATTATATGAAGTTGATCAACAGAAATTGTTCACAAACCGCTATCATTTTTCAACGATGCTTCTTCCGATGAATCGTCCTTCTCACTTTCAACATGTCGCTTTTTTTCTTTAGATGTCTAAACAAGCACAAAGTCTATTTGATCAGATAATAAATTTTAACAATTCTTATGGGTTAATGTTAGAAAATTTTAAAATGACGAAAAGTTACCACAGCGAAAAAAAATAATTATTTTATATCTATGCTCGGTAGAATCGTATCAGTCTAATATGAAAATTTTTCAAAAAGTTGTTTTCAGATTATACGAAACTGTAGTCAACTCTTGGAAAAATTAAATCTCCATTTCATTCTGTCTTTATCAACAAAATTAATAACTTTCGTACATAACGTTATTAGCAAACGTTCTTATCACTGATTCGTGATAATTCAAACAATGTAGTGAATGAATGCAGATGTTTCAAGTTAAATAATAAATAACTGAGAAGGATTCGCTAAAACATCCTGCTAATTCGCACAATATCTCATTTTAACGAATGCACACAACTTTCAAATTTTAAGAAAAGAATGTAGAGTTATCTTAATGGAAATTTTTTGAGAAAAGAGTGAAAAGAAGGGATATGCAAGAAAATTGTTGAACCTCTTTCTTCCAGAATCGAACATAGGAGATTTTTGATTGCTTAATCTGTAAGACGCAACAAATATCTGATTATAAATTGAGCAATATTCTGCCAGTCTTGTTTACTTAAGTAAAATGAATCTCACTGTAAAGTATTACTGAGTTTGTTTTCTTGACTAAAACTCAGAAAAATGCAGACGAAATTAACTGAGATCGAACTCAGAAAGATAATCTGCGTTAAAACTGTACGATTGCTGTTTTCTTTCTTTCTTTCTCGGATAAAATCGAATATGCTAATACAATTCTTTTAACATACTTCATCTTCGTGAAGATCATCATTTTCATTTGTCTCATCTTGTGAATACTCTTCACGTTTATGTCGTTGATTATCACCCCTATTACCAATATTTAAATTTGAATTATAATTTTCCAATGATTCTTTATCACCATCATTTAATGAGATTGATTCGCCATTATCGACTGGCATCGATGTAACAATATGTTGACATATTAACACTAATGATAAAAACAACAATGACGTTAACCGCATACTTGTTTCTATTTTAATACAGTAGCCACGAATTTAATACAATAATAGATGTTTGAGACAATCAGATAGTTTGAACAAAAATCTGTCCTGTTTGATTAATGCGTCTCTCTTTAGATATGCTTATAGTGTATAGATATTGTTCGCACAAATGTAATAAAGACTACGATAAAAAGTTATTTCTCGCTAATTTAATCAATGTCAAGTATGCAGTGTATCAAATCATCCGAGGATAAGTCATTTTTAAAACAAAACAATGAAGTGGTAGACAGAAGTTTAAATACATTTTGTTCTTTTCTATTTTTCTTCTGAGTTATAGCGCGTACATCTAAGAAGTGGTATGAGTGTGCATCATGCACACTCATACTAGCCACAACAGCCATCTCACTTATTATCAATCGTTAATATGCCACGAAAAAACGCTTTCTTCGTTTTCGAAACTACTGTTTTATCAGAAAACAATTCTAAGAATCTTAGCCTTTTGGATCTGTCAATCGCAGTCGTCTGTTCAAACAATTTTCAAACTGTTCAAACAAATTTCAAACTGTTCAAAATTTAGTCAAATATTTTACAAGTACTCTAAACTTTTGTCTGCTTGAGAAAAAATGTTTTCACTTGATAATTTAAGATCAACACGATCCAAAATCAAACTGTGCTCAATATTATTGGAGGAATTTTTGTTTTTTCTCTCTAGTTTTTGATTAGAGACGCTCATTTAATATGTTTTTTTGAAAAAATTATTCTGAATTTCTTTAATTATGAATTATCATGTTTTCCATTACGTACCGTACCGAAGTTCCTTCGTGAAACTGTTCCTTAGTGTTATTTCGTAAATATTTGAAAAAGATTTCTTTTTTGTATTATAGTGTGTGAAAAAATAATCTGATATTTATTGTATGTACTATATTTACGATATGACTCATAATTATGTAGTAAGTATTTTTCTTTTTTTTGGTTGTTTTTGTAGAGCTCTTGTGTAAGTTGTTATAAAATCCTATACAAAAAAATCAACACACTTACTCGATGTTTAGATATTTTTATTAATGGATGACATTAAACAGACGAGATGAGGCGATAACTATAATAAAGGGTGATAAAAGAAGAGCCAGCAACGAACAGTTAAAAGAGTCTGCCAAGTTTCAAAAAAAATACAACATATAAACATGAATGATAATTTAACTAAAAACTGCATCAATAACATATGTTTAAATAATGGTCAATGTTACACTGACCACAATCAAAATGAAATTTTATGTTTATGCCCGATATGTTTTACAGGTCGACTATGTGAAAACCCACAACCAGTACCAAATTCAAAAAACTTCCTATTCAGAACAATGTTGAAAGACAGTGAAACTGCCAAACTGATATATTTTCATTGTAAGTGTATTTATACTAATATCGCTAACAAATAATTTACTAAGTTTAATAATGTTTTTATTCAACTGCAAACGACGTAATTTTAGAATTCATGTAATTCTGATTTCGTTATGTGGTATAATATCTGCTATTTCATTTATGAAATCTTAAAATTGTTTGATTATAATACCAATATTACATGCAATGATGACTGATTTTTATTTCTGGCTAACGGATGTGCCATAATAAACTGGACTAAATGTTACTGCAGTTTTTTCGTACTTCCTCTTCAAATTAGAAGTTTCTTTCCATACCAAAAGATAGAGAATTTCAAGCTCTACAAAACCTACTATTCGAATCTCTGAGAGCATTTTTCTCGTTTGAGCACCATTCAAAATATTGAAGAGTGCTGAGTTGTCGAACTGCGACACACTGAAAATAGAAAAACATTTGCCTTGATCCAAAAATAGATTCCATAAGATTTTTGAAAACATCAGAAGATTCACCGGAAAATTCTGCATCTTCTCACATATTTTTCGAAATTTTGCAGTTAAATCTTCTAGGAAAATTTCTCTGTGCAAAAAGCTGATAAATCTAAAAAAACCTAACTTTTGAACCTATTTTTCACAGAATTTAGTTTTTGGACTATAAAAGCAGTAAAACGTTCTGAATCCAGGGTTTTAGTCTTATTATCTTACATAGAATTAAATTCTGCGTCTTTTGATATATAAACAAAGTTTCTCAATTGAAACCATTAATTAAAAAAATTAATTTAATTTGAAAAAATTGAAAAGCCGGTTGAGAACTAATTATGAGATCAGCTGACGTAGTGGAAACATTGTATAAGATTGTAAATGAGTGAGATCGATAGAGCGCAAAATTTTCTATCGTTCTACCTAGAAAAATTAACTATTGAATCTCAGACAATGTGCGAAAAATCTAAAAAAATGAGGCGACAAAAGTACGTCGCAGTTCGACAACTCAGCACTCTTTTATATTTTGAATGGTGCTCAAACGAGAAAAATGCGCTCAGAGATTCGAATAGTAGGTTTTGTAGAGCTTGAAATTCTCTATCTTTTGGTATGTATTCCAATCAATGTACTGTTAGATATACTCACCCCACCTCTATTATTAATCAAACATTCGAATATATGCATTTGTTAATTCCAATTATCACGTTTTGTACTCTAATTTTTGTGGTTTCTAAACGACTGTTCATAATAGATTCGTCAGTCTATCGAATTTTTCAAGTTTAAATAGACAGCAAACTATTTTTATCCCAATTATCGTGAATATCATTTGCTATTCACCACTATTCTTATTTCGTTCCCATAATTGTGCTGATGACAGCAGCATCTTTACGGCTTCACGTTTACATATTTTTTTCGGTTTATTGGAGCAATTACCTCAAATGCTAAGTCAAACTAAAATCATTACGATGGACTTCCTCAAGGAAACATTTAAAACATGTCCATAAACTTGACACATTTTCGCTTTATTGGCTTTATTGGCTTGACATAAACGTTAACCCTTTGAATACCATTGCTCGACCATGATAGCTAGGGACTTCTAATTTTGTGTGATCATAACTCTTACATGCTGAACACCCATCAAGTTTGGGTCTCTTTTACTAGATGGTTCGTGAATGTAAGCGTTTCATTTCTTTTTCGTAGAATGCTAATAACTCCTGATCCAAGAGAGGTGAAAGCTTTTCCTTTTTACCAAAATGCAACACTGCCTCTCCTCTATCTATGGTATGAATTTGAAGTGTTAGCTCTTAATAGTTACTGAAATACAGCTATTTTACGATCGAGAGTCACTTTTGAAGTTTGAGATCCTCTTCCAAAAAAATTCAAAACTCAGCCTAGGAATATTATTTTCGCTTGAAAACTGCACCAGATACTCTAAAATGTCTTTAGATTATTTACACAAAGTATGAGAGTTATCTGTTGTAGGATTCGAGATATTCATTGAAAATGAGCACCCGCTATTGAAACATACATAGGGAGGCAGGGGTGAGGAACCAAAGGTCGTCCATTCTACCATATCTTCTGTGATTAATGTTCGTCACAATCGTGTAAAAATATAGTAATACAAAATTAGGGAGAAAATATCCATAGATAAAATATTGTCAAGAAGACGTCGCACTCAACCTGATTTCCGCTATTTCATTTATTTTCCCTCTTTTTCACTTCTCATATACTTGCAAGCAAAATTAACAACATACTAGAGATCAGCAGACAAAACTGCATCGTCGCATCTCGATATCTTTTTACGGTCGCGAGTTATTTAGAATTTATCAAATTTGAAAAAAGTGTGTCTTATCGGGCACGCTGGTACTTAAAGGGTTTTAATTCTACACAAAACACAAATAAACACATGCAATTACAGTTACATTATTTAACAGATTCATTGAAAGTGTTTGACAATGTGGATGAATGTGAACAGTGTATTATCCACACATTAGATAATAAAATAATTCTTATAGTTTCTGGTAAATTATTTTGAGAAATTGTTCCAAAAGTACATGATCTAACGCAATTAACGTCGATTTATATTTACTGCATGGATAAAGAACTGAACGAAATATGGGCTAAGAATTACAAGAAGGTAATACTTATCTCTACTGGTAGGGTAGAAAGTCGAACACTAAAAATTACTACAAGAACATCTTTGGACAAGATGTGTTAATGCAGTCTGTTTTTTTATATAGATTCGAGGAATTATTGTATGCTAAACGGAATTAATCGGGAAAATCTTCAAATGTCACGTTAAACTTGAAAAAACTGGACATACACTGTCATGGAATATATTTCATATAACTGAACATTCGTATAAAAATCTTTCATCGAAGAGTAGTGATGTTATCTGCTTTCAAATTTTTATTGAAAGTTTATCACGTTTGCGATTAGAAGATAGAAAGACATCATTAAATGAATTTGTTCAAATGTGTAAAGAGCAAGAAGCTAATGAAGTTCAATGTGCGATACTAAATGAATTCAAGCGATCATACAGATCGACCAGGGCAATATGGTGGTTGGTATACGAAAGAATCGTTTATATTTCATCGTCTTAACAACGCTTTATGAACAAAAGATCTTAATACACTTTACATATTTCGATTTCTGATTTCTGATTTACATAAACAGTTAAAGAACAGCTTAAACTATCAGAAGAGAATCTAACCGTTTACCGTGGACAAGGCTTGTCTCAAGATGAATTGAATAAAATGAAGTCCAGTCAACATGAATTTATTTTAATGAACAGCTTTTTATCAACAAGTAAAGTTAGAGATGTTGCCGTACTGTATGCTAAAGCGATCGATTTCACAAACAAAACATTGCAACCAGTTTTATTCGAATTCAATATTCATGCAGAGCGTCAAAATGCTAAGCCGTACGCTGCTATATCCGATTTAAGCTATTATGAACTTGAAGAAAGAGAAGTTCTTTTTATGTTAGGCTCATTATTTCGTATTGAAAATGTACTGCACAACGAACAAGAACAAATATGGATTATAAAGCTAAGTTTATGTGGTAGTCAACAAAACAATGAACTATTTGATTTGATGCGAAAAGATTTTGGTGAATATTTTAATTTACTTTCATTTGCAAATCTATTAAAGAACATGGGCGAATATGGGAAATCAGAACATTACTATAAGCGCTTTTTAAATGAACACTCGCCTAATGATGATTCACAACTTCCCCAATGTTATTATGGATTTGCAACAATTGCTTTTCATAAAGAAGAATATAACTCATCTTTGGAACTATTTAATACAATACTAGATCTAGAAAAAAATGATTTTTCACCTATGACAGCCGATATTTATAATTGGATTGGAAATATTGGATTTAACAAAGGGGACTATAACTGGGCTCTTGAGCATTACGAGAAAGCTCTACGTCTTAAAATGAAAATGAGCAATGTAGATCAGCTATCTGTAGCCACGATACATGGAAACATTGGTGGAATACATCAAATAAACAAGTCTTATGCTGCAACACTTTATCAAAAATTTTAGAAATAAAGCTAAAACTTCTATCACAAACTCATTCTGATATTGCATCAGCATTGGCTCGTATTGGGTCGTTTTAGTATGCAAAAAATGAGTATGATACTGCTCTTCCGTATTACGAAAGAGCACTAAAAATTCAGGTAACATCAGTATCAGAAAAAAATTCCGAACAAGCGATGATTTATTATAAAATCGATCTCGTACATGAATTTGACACACATAAGTACAGTTTAGCTCTAAAAAATTATTTACTTGCTCAAAATATTTTTCAAACATCATTCTTCTCAACGCATGAGCATTTCATAGCCGTGGAAAATAATATAACAAATGTTACTATCAAGCTCAATTCCACGAATTTTGTGACCAATACAGATGCTTAAAACAGTTAATAAAGAAAAAAGACGTTTTGAATTAAATTTTAAACGAAATAAAATCGTTCGACAACAATTAGTAGTTATTAAATCAGACTATCGGAAACTCTTTGGTATCCTTCTATACTACGGCTAGATTTTTTAAATTAAAAAGGTACATTTTTGCATGTCCTAGATGAATGTAATTAACATACGAATCTGTAATTGTTTATATTCTATTGGTTCATTTATCCTATAGATCTATGATTGGATAAAACGGTGTTCTTTGCAATTTACGAAAATTTGCACGTGATCACCGTCTCTGTGCATCATTCTTCGGTGAATGGTATAAACTGAAAACACGGGCTTTGTTGCAAAAAAATAACAACTTTTATTATGTAATCGAGGTACGAATTATATAGAAAAATGCTAAGAAAAAATATAGAAAAAAACAAACGTTGAACAAGAAACAATACACACATACATTTTACGTACAAAATTGATAATAAAACAATTGATAAAGATTTTGAGTCGAAAACGAAAAAAAAAACAAACGATTGCACAAAATAAGAGGAGGGGAAAACCATCTGACAAGAATTATTTGTCAAATGTGTTCCTAAAAACTATGGAAGCCAAAAAAGCTATTTTTGATTATTCATCGAAAAATATTAGATAAGTACGAAAAGAAAAGCTCATGTTTCATAGCACCAATAAATGCAAAATAACTAATAAATAAGATCAACGTATGTTTACCTGAGAAGAATTTGTGAGCCACAAAGAAATATAAACACTGAGATCAAAATAATACTGACAGATAAAAAAAAACAATGAGTTTTAAAAGTTATATTGTTGTTTACGAACATTAAAATCTCTAGCAACTAACTCATGTAAATCTTTTTCAAATTCCTCTAATGCAATGGGATTAACGTCGGACGATTCGTTAGGTAAAAACTTCTAAAATATAAGAAAAAAATATTAACATCCAATAGTGGAAACGAATGCTGTAGTGAATGATGATCTTCGCTTTAACGTAGGATCTTAAGCATCATTAATCCAACAAAATACATATATTGTACCGAAACATTTCCTGAGCTAGCGATAAGTTAGTTATATAATGACATATACTCATACCTTTTCAGTCAAATTGTCTGTAGATTTCATGCCATCACGAGCCTGTTTTATATATAAACTTTTTGGATAAGTACCTAGTGCCGCTCTATTTGGACTACGAAATGGTAGTTTATCTAGACACAAAAACAATTATTACGTGGCAATGAAATGTTGTGTAGTACATACCTTGGATATTTGATTGAACATGAATTTGTTCTTTTTGAAGGGGTGGAGATGGAATGACTGGTGGAGCGGCAGGCACTGTGAAACTTCTTAGATTCGGTTTTGATGATAACAATAATGTTCGTTGACCATTTGCTATAAGATCATTAGCCATTAATTTGTCGTAAATACCGCCAGTTGTCGATTGAATCATTGAATGTGGATTATTATTCATATTACTGTGATTACTACTTATCGATGGTGAATATTGATAGTCGGGAGGTGACGGCGCTAAAAGATATATATACACGAGATTACTTAAAACACTTATTGTGTATATTAACGCTTACCAGGGCCAATTGAATGTTCATTTGGTCTAGCAATATATTGAACTTTTTGTTGAACAGGTCTTACAGTAAACGGTTGTTGTTGAAAATGCTGCTGTGGTTGACGATCGCCAAGCATTGTATTTAAAAGTGTGTTGGGCACTGGAAAGGCGGCTGCCATGGCTGTAATGGAATAAAACTATATAAAAATGCTTACCAGAAGAAAAAATTATTTCTAAACAGTAGTGCGGGAGGTTACTTACGTAAATTTTTCATTGATTTTCGATCTTTCGCCTGTAATGTTTGATCATATGGTACTGCTATTGGTCTTGAACGTTGATTAGTCATTTTGTTGTTTGTTGTTAATAATTCAGTAGTGCTACTGGAACCATCATTTGAAGGTACATATGAATGTCGTTGTTGTAAATTATGGGCATCCGTGAGTGGTTGAATTTCATGTTGTTGATAAAGATGACATCGTTGCATAGTTCCATTACTACCTGTACTTCCGTCATAATGTCGTTCAATACTATTATTTGTTGTTCCAGAATTATGATTATTGTCATGTATCAAAGAATGACCAGCACCAGTCCATAAATCTGCCGGTTTAGTTATGGATGACGCTGTATTCGTGTTTAGATTTGTGTTACTCGTAGCAGAGAAACGTCGTTGAAGTTTCGTTTTACTTGAACGTCGACAACAAAAACATGAAATAACACTAAATAAGATGATACATAAAATGGCTACACCAGCAACAGCTAGGATTAATAACCAAGTGCTATTTGTTATCAATATAAAACCCCGTTGTTCTTCTATAATAGAAAAAATTCGACACTGTTTAAACTAACAACCGAGTATAGGATACTTACTTGCATATTTAACAGGTTTATCACTTTCAGCATTATCACCATTTGGATAGGATGCATCTAGAACTAAAGAGTAGGTATAAAACATAAATTATTATGTATTCTAAAATTTAAGGGAAAAGTCGTACTTGTTGGCGTTTTATAAATTTTTGTTTCAGGTGGAGATTCGTCATTAAATCGATTTTTTGAAACAATTTTGAATAGGTATTTTGTATTTGGTTTCAAATTTGAGATAATCGTTTCTGTTATATCTGAATTTGTTGTTACTTGCTGTTGGTGGTTGTTGCTCTGATCAACATAATAAATAATGTAAGATCGGATTCCATCAGAATCATCGGGTGGTTGCCATGTGAGTGCCACTTTGAATGGATCTGATGCATCGTTTGTAACGATATTAAATTGTTTTGGTGAATATATCGCATTTGCATATTCTATTGATAAACTATAATCACTTTCCAAATCATTATCAATTGTTTTAACAGCAAATTCATAATTTGTTAATTGTTTTAAATTTTCAATTAATAATGATTGTTCATTCGATGTCAACTCTTCTTGTTTTCTTATTTGACCTTTGTATAATTCATTTATATGAATTTTATAACGGCGTGACGTTGGTAAATGAATCGATTTGGGATACTCTTCATCACTCCATTGTAATAAGACGCTAGTTTTTGAACGAGGTATCACATTTAATTCTAATGGTGTTTTCGGTACTTGATGATCATCATCTTAATAGAAATAACTTGTTAAAACAGTAAACATAGCGTGAAAAGAATTTACAGAACACAGTCGAAATAATTGATTCTTTCTTTCTTTGTTTCTTGTAGTGGACACGAACTTCTATATGCTATTTTAGCTATTATATATAAAAGAACTGTGGATATAATATTACCTTCTGGAGGCATTTGAAAATCGTAAAACTGCGTGTCGAAAACAATGTCATCCTTCTCAGTGATCGGCGTTATTGAAAATATATACTTCTTATTGGCTTCTAAACAACAGATGAAGAGAGAAATGAATGTACATAAACGAGTTCAGTGTTCTTCTACCTAATTTATCGATCGTAACGATCGTTTGATGGATAGGAACAATAAGTGTATATTTATATGGATCGTATACACCATACTGTATACGATACTTTTTTATTGCCGACTCTTTAATTGTTGGCGGATGTAATGTTAATATAATTGAATGGCTAGTTGCATTTATTTCTATTTTGGGAAGCCTATCTCTAACATAGTCATTATTCAACGAATCACTACGACTTGATAAAAGATGGCCTCGTTGACTGTCACTGGATGACCGATGATCATTGCTTAGTGCTGCAATTACCGTTATATGATCGATCAAGATAATTGAAATAAACATATACATAAAAATGAGGACAATCTGGTAAACAATAACATTTTTATAAGAACATGAATCCATTCAGTCATAAAGATTTCCATTCATATGCAAGCATTTCAAAAAATGCGCTTTTATTGTCTAGAACACAAACAACAAACGTATATATTTCAATTGTCTTCTTCAACTGTTGAGAAATTGCTAGAACACCAAATCCTTTTGCTTTTTAAGCTATATCAATCAGCTTATACTATCTCGTACATAAACTTTACTGAGCACTTTGACAGATTATCTGCTGTCATCGAGATTAAAAGCGTTCAAGACTTATCTCTGAGTACGGTTCAATACGGTTTATTACCGAAAAAATGTCGTGAGTCGCTTGTAGTAGTTTTTTTTAATAATAATAAAAATGAAAAATGAAAAACAAAAAACAAAAAAGACAATTTTAAAAAACAACAGATTTTTTACAATGCTTTTTTATTTCCACATTAGAACTAGGATATATTTGCATTTGTCTTGTTTAAATGGTTTTATGCAACATAATAAAAACAAATTTGCCCAAGTTAACAACTGCTTTTTCAGCTAACATACTTTATTCTTTTTCGGCAATTCTTGTTAAATGTTGTTCAACTTCACTTTCTGGCAATACTCTGAAAGTACATTAGACATTACAGTCTATCTTTGAGAATGTGTATAAAACGATTTAATTACCTGAATTTAATATTGTCATTTGTAACAACTGCAATTTCAATTTCACTTGGTTTTAAATCTGTTGATAAAACATTGGCTAATGTTGAAATGGCTAACTACAAGAGAAGTTACCTGTGTTTATGTTGAGATAGAGGAGTATATAATATTTACTTCAATAGCATCTTCATATGCCAAATCACTTTTCTTTTTAATACGTTTTTCTAAAAAGTTATTAGCTTCTGTTTGTTTTACACCGGCACTTGTTGCTTTGAAACCACAAAAATAACCAGCAGGATCAGTTTTGTACAACAGCGGACCTTTTTCATCATCAATACCAAACAAAATCATACCTAAATAGTAAATGGTGAAATTTTAGATACTGTGAAGGAGAAAACGGTCAACTTTTTCTTAAACGATTCTAAAAAGTTCTAAGCTTACACTAATGAGAAATAGATGTAAAGAAGAATATACAGGTGAATGTCAGAAATGTATACTTACTACATCCAAGCGGTCGCATTTCTGCTTCTTGTGTATAAACTTGACTGATATCTGCGATACGACGACATAAAGCATCAACGGGGGTATCATAACCGTATTTATATTTCCAACTGGCAGCTTCATAACGTGCACGCTGTACTTGCCATCTCGAATCGGCTACAGAAAAAAATTCGATAAGATTTTTCACGAAAGTGTTATTTTCAAGGCTTACCAAGCATTCCTGTCATTACACAACCGATTGTCGGCGTAATAGCATGTAAATGTGTAACTGTTGATGGATCAAGTAATTTATCCTTACAAATGGATGAAAATAATTTTGTTTTGCTAATAAAAGGTAAAGTGAGTTAAACTTACTGGAATTTTTTTTTGAGCTATTGCAATAACACAATCTGTACCACGTACAGCAACAGATGTCAAACCGCCTTGATTGATTGCTTTAAATGCATATTCTAAAAGGACAGAAAAAGAAGAGTCAGTTTTTCTTAAAAATTGATAGATTCATATTACTTGCCAACTTGATATAAACGCCCTTCAGGTGAAAAAATTGTTATATCACGATCAAAACCAGCGCTTGCAGTACGACTCATTATATAGATATTATTTTAAATCTGAAAATAAAATGAATTACAAATCTTTCTGAACGATAACTTGATAAGTAAAGTAGCGATAAAATTATCCTTTTTCACAAACGTAAATGGATGAAAGTCATAAAGTCTAGTAATAGAGGAACAAAAATTGAGTAGCTATGCTAGAACAACCGAAAGAAGAACCTATTCGCTATAAAAAATCTCTTGTATCATTATGATTAGCTACTTGTCGATTTACAGTATTTGATGTTGGTGATTTTTCAAAATGTTCAGTTGACGTTGAATCACGTAGCTTTCACTTGGACATCTTTCACACATATATCATTCACTAAATATTATATTGCATTTTCAGCTTGCTCATTCGAGATATATAGATTTGTAATTTGATATTCTGTTATACGTTATTTGATAGATAAAGATGGATACCAAAATAGTGTGTGTCTACTGTTAAATAGTTTTAGCTTGCTTATGTCTTAAAAATCGCCGATTTATCGTGTAGATAATCGTTAAAACTGTGGCGATTTTCACGACATAGGTGGTTGCAGTAAGCGGCGGACGATGTAGCTTCTTTGTGACTGAACTTTGATAGCAGCACTTTAAATATTTTTTTATTAGTATCATAGTATCAAAATAAGCTTACTAATTCTGAACTATACAAATAAAATAAAAGCCGTCAACGTATTACTTATTACACCTTGAGTATAATTTTGACTGACTTCATGATTCAGCAATAAGCTCGACCAATTAGAAAAAGCGTTTACTTGTAACGCTATCTGCAACAGCAACAACGTTTTATTTTATACAAAAGAGACGACTTTTTCATATTATTTTATAGTGTTAGACATTGATAGTAGTAATTTTATTTTAAATAAAAATTACCATTAGTTGTTCCTAAGTGACTAACAAGTGGCCATTTGTTTATGGAAGTTAGATCATCAGAACGACAAATGAGTTCATATTTATTGCGGTGCTAAAAACGAAAACGAGAACTTAGAATTCATCTACGCGTGTTCCAATTTTATCCTTTAGACAAATCGAAACCTTATATGAAGTTTTTGTGAGAAAAGATGGGTGATGCAGCCGTTGATCCAGCTATTATCAGACAAACTCAAGAAACATTAGGACAAATAATAAATGCACCTGCTTTAACGGATAAGTTGTTGAGTCGACCTCCGGTGCAATTTCTTCAAGATATCGTCAAATCGGTAAGAAAAATCATTAATTTACCAGTCAGCTTATCTCTGAATTGCATTGGGCAACATTTAAAAAAGAGATCATATGCTCCCAGCAACAAAACAATCTTTCGCAGGATATTTCAATCATTTTCATGCTTTTTTTATCTAGGTAGTAAAGAAAACCAGATTTTTAAATGGCTTATATACGGATGAAGAGCTCTCACCCGGCTATCTCAAAGACAAAGAGAAGCGTGAGAACAAAACATTATTCATGAAAAAATTGGTCACTGCTGTGTGTAAGTATAAACTTGTGAATAGTTAATATCATTGCAAATCTTACATATCTCTTTCGTTTTTAGCCATAGCTCTGAATGAACCTCCCGTAGTTCGTGTTTCAAAAATTCTCAGTGGACACGAAGCGGATAAAACAAATTTACTTTTACAAGCGTTAGCCAAAGCAGTTACTGCTCGAGTATGTTTACCGGATATTTAGAAATAATTTAGAGCTCAAAATACCATCGCTTATTTTCTTAGGTTGACAGTGATGAAGTAGTAAAACGTACATTGAACAGTCTCAAAGAGAGTACAAACGATGAAAAACCAGAAAAATCTCGGCACGAAGAACATGAGAATGAACCGGACAGAAGTCAAGAACGACAAGAGTCAAGAGGTCAAGAACGAGACCAAGAGAAAAAGTCCGATAGAGAGCATAAAAAAGAACGTGACCGAGAACAGCATCAAGATGGAAAACGTGATAGAGGCGATCGTATTCGTAGTTCCAAAGGAGAACGTTCACATAGATCCACAGAAAAAGAAGCTGAACATACATTAGAGCGAAAATCATCGAAAGAAGACCGTGAACAACCAAGAAAAGATACTGAACGTGATCGACACGAAACCAAACGAGAAATAAGTAAAGTAAGTAAAATTTCTTTTATTTTTGAGCATTCATACTATTTTCTGTTACTTTTATAGGAGAATGCTGAAGATAGCAGCCAAAAACGACGACGAAGCCGTGTTAATGATGACATAGCAAATGGAGATGATAGTGCCAGACGTTCTTCTGTTCAGGATGATGATGAAGACAAAAGAGTATATTTTCTTTAGGAACGAATGTTATGTTTACTATGCGTTAATTTTGTTTTCTTTCAGGATGAAGATGAATCTAATCGCCGTCGAACGAGACCAGCATCAGCTAAAGGCCCACGTAAACAACAAGGTGAACTATTTTATTTCGAACACTAGTCTCAGTCGGCTAGTGGGCAGACAACGTACTTCAAACGTACGGAGTTCGAATCCCGGCAATGGCGGTCGCGTGATTGTCTTGGACAAGCTATCTAATGCTCAATATCTCGATATCTTTGAACACAGATGCAATGGGGTAACCCGATTTCAGTTCCATTGGACTGGAGAGATGAGAGTTAAAATTTAAAAAAGAAAAATTGGTCAAAAAAATAATATTAAATAGTCCTCTCTATTATTGATTCTAATTTCATTTAAATTTCTAGTTACAGTAGACACAAAGAAAGATACTGAAGCCAAACCGGTACCATTAACCTCAACTGACAAAACATCTACAGAAAAATTTACTGAAGAGTATATATTTAAAAAAGTAAGAATTGCTTTTTGATTGTCTTATATGTCTTTCTTTATAGAAGACCAATGACACGACCTGGCACAGCGCGCGCAGCAACCAGTCGCAAACCAATGAAAACAAATGCATCAGACGAAATTACTGGTGGATCAGGAAGGTAATTTAAACTTGCATAAATGGTTATTTTCCGGTAACGTTTTGTTTTGCTTTTTAAAAACCATCGAAAAGACCAAAATGTCGTTATTATTGTTTATCCTGTATTTCTCTAAAATATTTTCAGAGTTGCCAGTGCTCACCGTGGACAAGGAACATTAATTGTTGAAACGAAAAAGAATGATAATGATGATGATGATGATGATAATGATAATTTAGACGATGAAAATTTTCTTATACAAGAAGAAAAACCCACAGGTGGTGATCGATTATCAAAATCTTTTGTACGTGACGTGAATTTTCTTAAGGAACATTATTGAGTTAATTATGTTATATATATTTTAAATAGAAGCAAGATGATGACGAAAAGAGAACTGATGAAGACGGTGATCAACATGGTGCATTAGTGAAAAAAATGATTGAATCAAAACAACAGTTAAAAGATGGCAGTGAAATATCAGCACAAAAAACCGATGTTGTAAGTAGGATACTTACTAGAAGAATAATAAAATAATTATGTCTTTTTTTGTTTTTGTTTATAGAAAACAATTACTCAGACAGATGCTCAACGCAGACGTGAACGTGAAAAGATTCAAAAAGATGTTGATAAACTTCGAGAGACGATACAATCGTTAACGAAAAGGTTAAATTTAAAACTGGAAAAAATCAGAGCAATGATGTATTTTTCATTTCGGTCGAAAATATTTATTATTTTTTTTCATTTAGTGTTGTACCGTTAGGTAAAATGCTTGAATATTTACAAGAAGATTATGAAATGATGGCAAAAGAATTACAAACCCATACAGATGATTATAAGAAGACGATTGCTGAACTTCGAAAAGAGAGATTGTAAGTTAAAATAAATAGAGTAGTCTGGGGTAATTATAACCAGGCACACACTTTTGCTCAGTATTTTACGAATGGTTGAACCATTTTTAGTCGGAGAAAAATAGTGACTACACAGGTAGATACATATGACTTTCAGCTATGCACTGATGAAAAAATTGTCTGAAAATTCATTATCGTTAATTAATGCCATTCAATTTCCAGTGCGCTACTCTTAAATGGTTATAATTACCCCATTTGAGGTAATTATAACCAGTCAACGTACTCCGCTCGGATAATTATAACCATCACAGCAAAAATGGCTGGGACGATGTAAATAAACTTTGATCCCACGGTAAATTCTCATCTTTTTAATTAAAAATTAGTCCCTCTTATAGAGAATTTCGGGCTTTATCCAACCTCTTGAATTTCCAGTCAATCAGTCTTATCCTTAATTACTTAATGAGAAATTATTGAAATTAAAAGACAAGTCATTTTTTTCGATATACACGAACTGGGATAATTATAACCGCTCCGTGCAAATCACACGGAATAAAGAGAAAAATGTTTCCATAGGTTTCCAAAGACCGATTTTCATACTGGGCACATGCTAGAATATTGTTCAGAAGACCATTATCTATGATTACATGTGAAAATCGAAAGAGAAAAAAATGTTTTGATCGTCTGTTCGTGTAAAAAATAATAATTATCAATTTTCAAAACTTTTTTCCTGTCAATATTAGTTTGGTAATTAAGTTGAAAGCTTAATTAGCAATGAAATCGAGAAAAAGTTTAGGTATTTATGAACATTAGAGTATCCTCTATTCGACGCACCTTCTCTTCTTCTAAAAGAACACTGTCAACGTCTGATTTTCAGATGTGATTGTGATCGTTTCCCTTTTTATATTTCAAATGAGAACTTTGCCACTAAACTTTCATTTTTTTTGCAAAACTAATAATATATTTGAAATCAGCATCAAAAACTGAATCGACTGATGTGCGTTTCAGGTGTTTTGCACAACTTCGATTTGTTCGAACTTTTCGACTGAGACTTCTGATAAAAATCAGAAAAAAAAGACAATTTTTACATCAGTGCATAGCTGAAAGTCATATGTATCTACCTGTGTAGTCACTATTTTTCTCCGACTAAAAATGGTTCAACGATTCGTGAAATACTGAGCAAAAGTGTGTGCCTGATTATAATTACCCAAGCCTACTCTATTCTAAATACAAAATTTTACCACTTTTTTATTTATTTATAGTGCTACTGAACAAAGTTTAGAACCATTAAAAACAGCCATGATCGATTTTGATGATCAAATAGCAGATATGAAAAATCGAATTGTATTTATGAAGAAGAAACTTGTGACAAATGAAAAGAAAAATGCTGCAAGACTATTGGATATTATTAAAAAACCAAAATGAATGTGATATGCATTTGTATGACAAAATCTTTTGGCTAATCGATATGATATGATACGCAATACTTTAAGAGGAAGTTTTTTTGAGAAAAAAAAAAAGAAGAAAATTTTCAATAATGCAGTTCTAAGATTATGTATTTCAGAAAAAATTGTTTTTTGTACAGTGTTTTATTTGTTAGTGTGTGTGCGTGTTTTTTATAGAAAATCTCTAATGTTTATTATTGAGCTTTGTTTTTTTTTCTTCCTTTTTATTTTTGCGAGTGTTACTTTATACGCAGTCAACCATATCTATAAATGTGAATATAAAATGCTTTATAAAAAATACTGAAATTGTGTTTATGCTTAGTGAAGTTTGGCATAAACTTTATTTTGCTCTTCACTTTTAAAATTTATTAAATAGCCATTACATTACTAATAATTTCAAACATACGGTTAATAAATCTAAACACCAACATTATCAAACATGAGAGAAATGTAAATTGATTCAAGAGAACGTAATAGCAACACCTATAAGTTTATTTATTATCAATTTTTAGTATGTTGAAGCAGTCAGTTCATCAATGTCACTTTTTTTCGTATGAAGAACATTAGCTGCATAAGCTGCATGATCTAAGAAAAGAAATTTTGCTACGTCAGAACGTGTGGTCAATTTAATAATTTTTTCTTTTAAATCTTGACACGATATTTTTTCTTTTTGTACACGAACTACCAATTGTTCATCAGTCATTCCTTGATTTTCTACCGTCAGATAGGTCAAATGGTAGATACTTTCGTGGATCATATGATATAGCCAATCGAATATTAATTTAGTACGTTCAATATGAAATTCATTTGTTATTATACATAATCTTTTTAATTGCATAGGTTCACATATGCAAACAAGACTAAAATAAGCGTTTCCAATAGTGTCTAATGACCAATTTTCGATTAAAATTTTTTCTTTTTTAATCTTATGACTCATTAAATAATTTGCACCTGCTGTTGCTTCATCAATTGGATACTTAAGATTATCCAGTAGCGGTGGACGATGTGTAGTACCTCGACTTAGTACAAGAAAATAATTTGTTTGATTATCAAGTTCAATTGCACGATCTAAACGAGCTTGAACCCATTTTGACGGTTCTCCAAATTCATTCAACCCACCTCCAGGTATAATTACACAGTCATATTCTGTCATTATTTACATAGATTATCTAATGTATCTATAATAGGCCAAAATATGCATATTAACAATACGAAAATCTCTTAGCCAATTACGATTTATAAGTGGCCATTAAGATGCAAGAGACAAAAATGATCAAACATTAAATTGATAAATCGTACACTATGCTTAAAATAGTCCATAGATAATAATTCGTACCTCATAGTTCTTAGCCGAATACATGATACAATTGTTTAATTTTTTGTACAAAAATGTATACACTATTTATTTAGGGTTAAGTGGAAAAATCTATTAACAATATGTCATTCTCAATAAAAACTAGTCGGCAATCACGCTAGCGAGAGTTGCAAATGCGTTGCGAAGCAGGTTCGGAGATGAAGATTTTGTTTAATAACATACAGCAGTTACATTTGCTTAGTTAGTGTTTGTAATATAATTTCCTCGGAATACAACCTCGGAGAGAGAGTGAAAATCGAAATTGATTAATTTCCTTGTTAAACAAACGTTCTACCATTAATTATGCTCTAACCTTTATCATAACCTAGAGATTTTATCATACACACTGCGCTAATTATCTATAACACAGTAAGGTGTTCGATCGCTAGTCATTGCGTTAGCTATTCGTTGAATACATATAGAGCATGGTCATAAAGTGACTCACACGATATGTGAATACTTTGCTTTAAAAATGCTAATATAACTCAGATTCATTATCCGTTTTTTTTCGAAAGAACTACAAGTCCCAAACATTCAAAACACCTTCTTTCGAGCCTTCTAGTGAATGACTCGACTAACCACAAAGTCTCAAAATAAGACATTTACTAATTCGGTCTCACAGCTCACTGCTCCTGTTTAAAATTTTACAGTAGCCCTTCTAGTTTATGAGAAAATCGTTACAGAAAATGACAGTTTTGTAGCCTAGAAAGTAAACACGCAGTTGATGACAATAATGCGGTATGCTTCGCATCGCATTAATAAAATCGAAGAGAGAAAGAAAGATATTGCAAACAAGATAAAACAATAACAGCAACATGAATGTGTGTGTTTCACTGTTCAAGCTCACACCACAAAAAACTTGAAAGAAATTTGTTTAAAAATATAATGTGAAAAAACATATAACTGCTCATATCTGAGATCATTTTGATTATGCAAGAGTGAGAGAGATTGATCAAATATAAGAGAAGAAAAAAAGTAATGCAAAGCTGTTAAGTCTGATACACTTCATGCTCTAGTCCTTTTATTTTCTTAGTATTTAGTTTTCTATTTTTTGTCTTACCTCTGTTCACATATGTGTGTGCGTGATCTTTTAGTATCATACTGACTGCGGTTCACTTTTTTCATTTTTCTATTTCGTCTATTTTATTTCGTTCATCTATTGTATTTGTTTCGTCTAGTTGTGATCACTATTATTCTAAGTCTATAGACTATATTGTATTATCTTTAGCTATATCTCTGTCTATTTTTTCTTTTTTCTTGTATGTCACATGTCTTTGTTCTTTTTGCTATATATATAAGAAAGCATAAATTTTGAGATAGTTAGTTCGAGTGCATATTGAATACAGAGTTAGTAAGTCGATGGACCAGTTAATCCTTACTTCATGTTAGTCCTGCATATGTATTTTTTATCATTATTTTAAATATACTACATATATCGGATTGGCACTTTGTTTAATTTAGGTTACCGAGGGAGATTTCTTGTCTCATTTAACTAAAAACCCCGGGCTTAACGACTAGTAGAAGTCAAGGGAAAAATAAATGATGACAAAAGTCGAAAAGTAATTATACAGAATTCCCCTGTTTTAGACAATAACACCGGTGTATTTGTTTGTGATTGTTAAATAACAATGAATGCGCAGTTTTGGGCTCTTTTTGTCCTTCTTGTTGGTTATTATTATTTACATTCGACGAATGTCAACGCGTTGTTAATGGACGATAAGCATTTGGGCATGTTTCCAGTAGAATGTCATCTAAACAACAAAAAACAAAAAAATATAGCTAAAGGCAAACAACAGTTGAGATTTTACTCAAAGATTTGTACAGATGAGAAAGTGAGGATTTCCAAATTTGTCAATAGCTCTCTTTTTTGTAGCAGTATTAAAGGAAGGAATTAAAGGAAGGAGTAAATTAAAGAAATTATCTCTTGATTATATTCTGTTCGAGGTAAATGTTGAGTTAGGCCGATATTTCAACAGTAGTTTTAGTCTATGAAACTTATGCATACACGATAAAAAAAGAGCACTTTTTCCAAAAAACATTAGAAGTACATTTCTTGTTTCTGTATGTAGTAGTTTCTCGTTGTCAGTCGTTTCTCAGTATTAAACATATGTAATATTAGATATTGAAAATGAATATATTGATTATATTCTAAAATTGGCAAAAAGTCAATTCAAATTTATGATTTGCATACGCCATAGACAGTCGGTGTCTAAAAATCTCATATATTCAAACAAAATAAATACTTACGAGGGAACCGATTTAACTGTCAAATCGTTTTTTCAACGAGACCTACTGGATTATAGGTTATCGATTATGCTGATTTCAAATATGACCATGGCAGTTGCTTATAGGTCTCCAGACATCCGGTTTCTTGGAAAATCAGCTTTTCAGACACTCTAAAAAATACCCAAAACCTTTTTCTAATGAGACATGATTGTAGCCCGTAAATTTCTGATTAAAATGAGGTATATCCCACCTCTACACGACCTTTCCTTGCAAAGTTATAGAATTCACAAGAAAAGCGCTAAATGTTCATTGTCAGATCAAAGCTACAGAAATAAGAAGAAATTAATTTAGGGCTTTTCGTGTAAATTCTATAACTTTGCAAGGAAAGGTCGTGTAGAGGTGGGAGATGTGTCATTTTAATCAGAAATGTGCGGACTATAATCATGCCTCATTAGAAAAGGGTTTTGGTTATTTTTTAGAGTTTCTGAAAAACTGGTTTTCCAAAAAATCGGATGTCTGGAGACCTATAAGCAACTGCCATGGTCATATTTGAAATCAGCATAGTTGATAACCTATAATCCAGTAGGTCTCATTGAAAAAACGATTTGACAGTTAAATCGGTTCCCTCGTCCGTGTCTAATATTATGTATTTAAGGATATTTTTGTCTAAATCTGTCGTTCTGATACTGAGAAAAGAGCTCCAAATCTTTGATAAAGTTCTTAAGATTCTCCTAGATAAAACTGATTATGTCAAAGAAGATAGTACTCTGGGTATTTTTCGATATCAATTCAAATGGCTGTTTTTCTGAAGGGACTAATGGAAGAAAAACGTGTAGAATCGTAAAAATGACGAAAATTACTTTTGAAATAAGCGTAGAGTATAGAAACTGTTGTTGACGGATAGTCGCAGGAGGTCGAACGTTTTTTCGTAGCACAAGTCAAAGTATATGGTCAACAATACTAATAATAAGATTCAAAGAAGAGTTGATCAAATAGAAGTCGGAAAAACTGGCTTATCCGCCTCTTCCTCCCTTATCTTCCGTTCACAATGAAAATCTTTCTTAGTGTATGATATATTTCTCTACAAAATGAACTCATGAAACTAGATTTAATTTAAAAAAAAGAAAGAAATCATACCATTACTAGTTCCAGTTGATGCTGGAAAAGTTGCTCATGTTTTTAAATAATTGATGAGTAATAGAGCGCAAGTTGTCACTCCAAACCCAGTTAAATATCCAAATATATCAGTAATTGATAAATGTTTCCATTCTTTAAATAATATATTTGATATTATCAACATATATATCGTAAACAAAACATAATAAACGGTTGTCACAATGGGAGCCTTGTTCAAATAATTCATTTGAATAATTATACATACAATAATAATAAATGCACAAAATACAGTTAACCATTGAGAATAAGTGTGAGTATCTGTTAAATATTCTTGATAACCTACTGCCAGACCTTTACAACCAGTAACAGTTATTGAACTGAGTAGTGAGCAAGTTAAAATATAAATAAGGATATTATGTGGACCTGAACGTGACTCTGATATCCTTCTTGTTTTGTAAATATGAAATATATATGTTGTTACGCACCGATCATTCTGAAACTTATTAGAACACACTTGCTCTTATTCCATTAGAAAAATTTAAATTAAGAAGACCTTTTTTCTCAATGTAAGGCTACTCCCAATAAATCCACTTGATAATACTGCTAGTGATATACCAATATAAAAACTTGAATTAAATGTTAACTCATATTTGTCTGCTGTCGATGAATAATTGTTCGTAACACTAGTCAATACACTTTAGCTCCATCCATAAAAGATGATCACAGAACCATTGTGTCCCTCAAAATTTGGAGGAAGCAAAAAAAGTTTTGTTCGATTATTGAAGACGAATTCGATCTCGGAATTTGCTGTAGGTTTCTACAGTCTTGGATTTCATAGTAGGAGGAAATCCATCCTTATAATTATAAAATCCATCCTTATAATTTTTTTTTATTAGAGGATAAGTTTAGAATACAAAATCTTTCATCAATGAAAGAATTCCACGAAACTAGAACGGAAGAGAATAAAAAACTACTGTTAGTTACTAAGAATTTAACCATTACCACCGTCTGTAGCTGTCTGTATGCTGTCTGTGGGTGACTGTGCGTGTCTTCATGTTTTACTATTACCCACGAATCTTTGTGATTTCATTGATTACTTTCAACTTCAAAAAATTCTATCAAACATTCGTCATTACTCCATCAATCATTGATCGATTAATTTAAATCTTGATGTTATAGATCAAAATAAAATGTGACGACATTCATCTTAAATAACATGCAAACCGTATTAATTCTACAATTTTAAAAGAATTGTACACATCAAAATGAAGTCATTTTTAGAGCAAGCGAGCACATTCTCATCAAATAGAAGAAAAAAAATACTTTTTTGGTTGACGGAAATTAAGAACTGAATTGAGAAAGAAATATAGAATAGTATAAAATTTGTTTATTGATTAAGTACTATTAACGTTCTCACTTTAAAGAAAAGGTTGAAAAGTTGAGTCACTTTTTTTATGTGCCCTTTGATGTTGTCTGATCGAACAAAATTAATTAAGAACGAAGTGAGATGACACTTTTACTTTTAATGTTAAATTTTAATTCCACAATGAACATTGATTATTCTTTTCAGCTGTTTATCAAATTTATCCATTTGACAAGTTGCACATTGCACTTCTGTTTAGAAAGTAGGCAGTAACAGATGGGCCAGAAATAATGACACACTTTTGTTCTCTTTTCGCCCGAGCACAACCGACGTTCGAAGATTCCATTCTAAACTCATTCGATAGAGAATTTTCTGCTGTACAAAATCCACCATCATTACATATTATTTCATTATTTTAAAGAATAGTGCAGAGTAGGAATAGGTAAGAAGAATAACTGCGATTTCCTATCAAAATTTTGGTGACTTTTCGTTTTTGTGTAACTTTTCGAGAAATAATGTGGTAACTGAGAGAAGGTGGTATAAAAATGTTCAGCGGATTGAGCGCGCTATCATTCATACTACGCTGCTTATTAGTTTGGCCACCCAAATTGTGAAGCTTTCAGTGCACAAGTTAATCTATACTTTCGGGTAACGTGAGATTTTGAAAAAAGCAGGAAAAGGACTAGCCAAACAACGCCGTGAAAGTGTGCGTTATAGGATTTTGAAGAGCACAAAATTTTCTATCTTCTGAAGTCAGAATGAAGTCTTGGAACTATACGGAGTATAAATAAAAATAGATACATGAATAACCCCATCATTTCAGGATCATCCATTTTTAGTGGCAAAATGTGGGGAAAATTTTTTTTTCTCATTGCGGATTAATTAAATGAAGACGAATTCTTTATACAAAGTACCTGTGATGAATAGCTAACAGAAGCGTTGTTAAATAAACAATTAGGTCAAGTACAAAAATAATTATAATCTGTTCCTTCCGTCGCAGTTATTCTTCTTACCTGTTCCTATTCTGCACTATTCTTTAAAATAATGAAATAATATGTAATGAAAGGTGACGGATTTTGTAGAGCAAAAAATTCTCTATCGAATGAGTTTAGAATGGAATCTTCGAACGTCGGTTGTGCTCGGAAGAAAAGAGAACAAAAGTGTGTCATTATTTCTGATCCGCCCGTTATACAGAACTACAGACTGCACAATATTGAAACGAAGTAGTTCTGTACTCCCTAAGAAATATTGTCTGATTTATGAAATAAAATACCCAATCGCTCAGTCATTCATTTTATTCAACTGTTTTTACTTCTTTTCTCTTGTTTATTTTATCTTTCTTGTGTTTATTTTTCTAAAGATCACCTATTTTTTCAATCAAAAATTCTGAAAATTAACCACCAACAGTTAAATCGTTGACACAAATTATTAAGCCATAGTTGAATCAAAAAAGTAGACCTCATCTATTTCACTACTGTTTTATTAGTCTTCAAATGAAAGCGAAACTTCTCGTTTCTATAATAATAATAGCTTGAATACATAAAACAAAAATAAAATCTAGAACATGTCTAGTAAAAATTCAAAACAATTTTCCATACATTATTATCATATACCGAGGTTTATTTTTTGAAAAGGATATAACAAGGCAGCAAAAAGATGAAGAAAAAAAAAACTAGACGAAAACTGAGATGTTAATATGCACGCACTACAAAACAGTAGAAACAAGAAAATAATTGTCAAATAGAATACGAAAGACACTTTTATGTTTGTAGTAAAAATATTTCATTAAAAAAAAAAAAATTCACCGACATGGAGAGCAGTTGTAGAAAATTTTTCTTAATTAAAGTATAAGTTTAGCACAATATTAACGATGCTCGTGAGTTCATCAATAAATAATTAAAAACTCTCATTCTCTTCAGATATACAAATGTTTAACTAGAGTTTGGGGGCATTTAAACAAATTTTACACATCGACAACTGTGTGGTACGCATTGCAGAACATTTTTTGTTTTTTTTTTATAAGAAAAAACTGTTTGGACTACAATTGTATGTCAAATGAAAATAATTATACAGATAGTTATAGAAAAAATTGGACGCTAAAATTGATGCAATAGTTCAAAAATGTTCATAATAGTCGTCTATTTATCTTTCTTTTACTTCTCACTTTTTTTTTCGTTCATTCAGACATGCATAGCAGACGTTTTTCTATAAAATGACAGACATTTTGAGAGTCTGTACAATTCCTTCTAAACGAATTAGAGCACTTGTTTTAAATGATTGAAAAATAATAACAACAAATGACTAGCTAACGTTGACAATATGATCTGGTGATAAATTTTTTTCATAACGTTGCCACATTTCCCAAAAAAGTTGTTCCAAATGTTTTGTATACAATGCTGTGTCAAATAACGGAGTTGTTAATCGTCTTGACCATACTTTAGCACGTATAGATTGTAAATAAGTACGATCTTTTCCTAAATTTACAGCAATATTTTCATATTCATCATAGGTATTTGCAACTAATTCTGGACATCCTAATGTATATAATAATGATGCACCAACACGTGATGCTAATGTTTCAAGTGGAAGTGATATCATTGGAGTGCCTAGAAAGAAACAAACAAGAAAACTACCAATACTAAAAATTCACATTAGACATTATTTAATTACCAGCCCAAAGAACGTCCATTCCTACGAAAAAAAAGACAAAATGAAGGCACTGCTAGTAAATACTATATTACTAAAAATATATACCTGTTGTATGTCCATTGCATAACGGAGTATCAAGACATATATCGGCTAGTTGCCCACGACGAACATGTTCTTCCTACAAAAACAACAAGCTAATGAAGATCTTAATGCACGTAGTAAGGTGCTCATCGATTGATCGAGACATCAGTCCAATAATTAAAGAATAAATAAAGCAACTATTCTCATTTGCAAGTTCAAAAAATCAAGATGTTTAAAAGATCAAGACCCAACTCCCAACTTACTCCGTTTATTTTTCTTTATTCTTTACTTACAATTACAGTCTACATAATTAGTTCTCTTTCTTCTTCTGTACATATTATTGCTGTTGATTTGAGAAAGACATCGGAAAAACTGAGAATCAAACAAAATATTAAATTTTGTAATCGCATGATGTGTTTCATGGTAATTTTATACTCATTAAGGCAAAACAACAAGAACAAAAAATGGCTTTTTTGCACTTGTATTGCATAAGTGCACGCATGTGCCGCACATGGTCGCGCACATGTTCATTAGATCCGCCATGACCGATAACCTGTAGCAAAATATCAACAAATTATTTAACGCTCAAACAGTTTTTAAGTAAAATGCATTTAACAGAATCAAAAATATATCTTGCGTTTTTCTTAAGACTGTTTTTTAGCTTCAGGGCTTCCACCACGTACAGGAATTCTCGGTAACGATACATCAGAGGAAGTTTTTCTTTTTTTTGATTTGTAGATAACACCTATAGCAAGGAGTTGACTGAGTCCGATTTTTAAATTATGCTTCTATTTTTTATAGAAATGAGGACTTCTAAGAAAGTTTCCAAAGATTTTTCGGATTTTAAGATTCTATTAAGCACCAGAAATCAGATAATAATAAATGCAAAAAACCGGCTCGGTCAACTCCTAGGCAGAGGTGTTGGCTGCAAAACAAAAACAGCCCGAACTCTCCATCATTTACCTGGAATGGGAATTCCTGTGCGTGGTAGACGCCTATTTTTAGCCCTTGTTGGGGCGTCCTCTTACGAATAGTTGCAATTGACGCCAAAATAAATATTTCGTTACCATACTCTGACATGGTCAATATTCCCTGAAAGTTTAGTTCAGATCAGACATACCTGGGCTGAGATAGGCTTCTGAGCCGGAGGGGGGGGGCTTAATCTCCTAAAAGCTTACGGTGTGACACTAAGGAGAATCAATTTGTTTTTATTCTTTGAATACCAAGACGTCGTTTATTTCGGAAAAAAGTAAGAGGCACAAAATTTCACATTAACAGCTTCTTTTTGCTACGTTTTATTTGTTAGCGCTGTGATAGTTAGAAACAATCAACATACTTTTGGTGCTACGTTCGAGAATATTAATTTTGATGTATCAATACCATTCAAAAGAGCGAATTTCACTATATTTTCTTCACCCGCTGCTGGAAAACGTAGCAGCCAAAGCACACTATTTGGCACTCGTCTAAGAATCTACAAACACATGACGATATGAATAAGGTAGATATAAGTATTATTATTATTTGTGCGTACATTACACCAACAAGTCATTGTTTTTGGATCTATTTTGTATAATTGATTAAAATTACAATAAACAATAGCATCTTCTGGTAAACCATATTGTGTACGAGTTGTTAACAACACTGTTTGTGGCACTTCTTCTCCTGTCGCCGCACGACCACTTGTCTAAAAAAGAAAGATGTGTATTACAAAAAAATAAAAAAAAATATAGTAAATTGCTACTCATCTGTACCTGTAGTGTTGTTGTTCCATTTTGTGCTACAATACCGTTGATACTAACTTCACAATGACCTTGCGCTAATAAATGATGTACAGCAGTCGCTTGGGGTAATTCAACAATTGGTGTTATGACTTCTTTTATGTTATGATCATTTTTAGAATTTATTCCAATATCAGAAACTTTAATAGCCAGTTTCTAGAAAGATTAAAAAGCTAAATAATAAAACAGTACGCTCACATTCTACTAAACCAGTGTATAAAGTCACAGTAGAAGAAATGAATAATATCATTCATCAAGTGTTATTCAAGTGTGTTACCTTCACATCACTTCTCTCTAATATTGGTTTTAAATCAGCTGCATTCACAATCAATCGATTATCAGCTCCATCTGATCTTTTACTTTTATCTTCGACTATCACTTTTTCTATCATATGTACAAACATATGTTTATGATCTCCAATAAAAAAAGTATTCGGCATATAAGCTAATTTTTCTGTATATTGTTCACTTAAATCCATCGGTGATGTAACAGCGTCTGTTATAATATAGTCCATAAATGATGCACCACTTGTATTCGGATATCCTAACCACATAACTTGGATGGGTGCTGGTTTTAACGCAAAAAGTTCATTTCTAGCACCTCTTGTATATCCGTTTAAATTTACCAAAATATGAATACCATCCGAATATATACGATCAGCAGCTTGACCATTACATGTAACAGATGACAGATCAATAAAATGTTCAGCTCCACGTTGAATTTTTGCACGAAATGCAGTACCATCATCTGGACTTAACGAATAACAAAATATTTCTACCTTCGTACGATCATGTAAACCAGGAATACTTTGCATGAGATGAGCTGTTGGATGATTACAAAAATCAGAACTAACATAACCTATTCGTAATCGACCAGAGCTTGATTTGAGATCTTTTGGGTATACAAAAGATTTTTTCTGCAATAGTTGAATCTAAGTAGGATAAAAAGAAGAAATATTGACAATTTACTTAAAAGCGTGTTGTATACTTACTCTTTCAAGACAAAGTACTGCGTGTCGTGCTGCTATGCCTCGTCTTTGTTCTGCAGTTAATGGATATAGCATACTGTGATGTGGATGAACGCTCGGCAATCGACTTTTATCTAACTGTTCTTGCACTATAGCAGCAATCTTCTTCAATCTTGCATCATAATCTGTCCAGTCACAAATAATCTAAACATCAAATGTCCATAATATATAGAAAAGATAAGTTTATTCAGTGCTCTCCTACCTGTAAACAATGTGCTAAATTACAATAAGCATCCGGGAAATCTGGTTTTAATTTCAACGCTGTTTTATATGATTTTATTGCATCTGGTATATTGCCTGTATCTTTATGGATCGATGCCAGATTGCTGTGGGCATCGGCAAATGCAGGATTGATATGTATTGCTCGTGCATAACATTGCAGTGCACTTTGTATGTCACCAATTTCCTTCAATGTATTGCCCATATTTGAATATGCATCAGCAAATGTTGGCTGTATACCTGCAATGAAAAAACGTACACACTCCAAATGTTGTTTTGTATTCTCTAAGTCCACGCAAAATGATCAAGAAGAAAAGAAAATATTCTTACTGATAGCGTTTTTATAATGTTGTAATGCATCTTGAAGACGTCCTTGCTGCTGTAATACCGATGCCAAATTTGAATGAGCCGCAGCAAATTCTGGTAACACGTCAAGAGCACGTTTGTATAATAAAATAGCATCTTCAGCATGACCCTGTTCACGACGAATATTAGCCAAATTATTTAATGAATCGGCATGAGTTGGACATAAACGTAATGCTGTATTGTAACATTCTTCAGCATCAGAAACCTAAAATTAAACAGTATACATTTAGTACTTAGTCCAAATTCAATCTCTATAAAACTTTGTGATCAAATATCAGCCTAGCCTCATGTACATGCGCATTGTAAAAACTGTCCGAAATATTCGTCTAGACAACCAGTAACCATTTTATTCATTAGTTTCGACACTAAACGTGTTAAAATTCTGAAACATCAATAATAATTGCTAATGGTCTTTGACAATGCTTTTCTATTCCTTTTTGGAATTTTAAATCAAAGATATATCAGCAACAGTATAGCATATTCTGATTCAGCTACAAATCAGAGATCATCCAGGACCGGTTTATTTCGGCTCGGTCCATATCTGAACTCAAGAATTTTGACCCGATCCGGTTCGATCTGGAGAGAACTCATCAATTTTTTGGAGCGACCCGTAGAATGTATAAGGAACGGATACATTCGGATGTATAGAACGGATGCTCAAAGGACAGTTAACTTCGTCAGCAACATTTTCAAGAGAATATACTGTCTTTTTTCCACATTCAGTGTTGTCTTGTAATATAGAATACTAACTGCAGCTGTTTTGAATTTCATAATTTTTTTTTATTGTAAATTTGACCTTGGACGGTCAGTTTCATATATAAAAACAACTAGTACTGTCACTTGAAATGAACTTATGAATGAAGGTAACAAATGAAAATTCAGATAAAAAACTTTGGATAAACAGTCACGAAGTGTGCTGCGGAAAAATTAACTATAAAATTCTTACAGTAGCTCATTCATCAAATAGTATTTCAGCAGTATTGTATTTCGAAGGGATCTACATTAATTTAGATTGAGCGATTTAATATAGATTGAGCCCTAGTGTGTCTAGCGCCTAAAATCATATATTCATCTTCATAGACATGCTAATTAATTGCAAACAAACTCAATAGACTTCAATTACGTACATCCTTCTTGAAACATTATCATGTGGTTAACGGTAATTCAAAACTCGAGTACAATTTATTTTTCGTTGTATTATACATGGTTTGGTAGAGTTCGTCGAGCTGATTAAGAAATAGTGGCTTTGATTATTTTAAAAATTCTTTTAACAAACATCTACTCGTATTTTGAGATTTTCACCATCAAATTTCAAGTTTTTCGTAAAACTAATGTGACATTTAGAATCAACATCAAAAACTGAGTCGAATGAAGTGTGTCTGGAAAATTTTCAATAGTTTTCATTTCTTGGTGAAAAGCTCGGTTTTTTTTTTTCGATGAAGATAATTCGAAAAACATCGATGTTGTCAAATCGAACAGTGAGGAATCTCATTCGACTCGGTTTTTGATACTGATTCCGAATGTCACATTAGTTTACAAAAAAGTTGAAATTTGATGGTGAAAATCTCAAAATACGAGTATATTTCTACATTTTTCGTCATTGATTTAGAAAAAACGAATTTTCTCGGTAACAGAACAAACAAAAGAAAAAGGCGCTTCATATTTTTAAAGCTCCTTTAATAGCGGTTCTAAAGAAATAAAAAAATCGGTTCCATCTCTTCAGGAAAAAAAACTAAATAGATTCGCGAAATTGTTTGTGACCTTTTTACAGGAGGAGCTAAAGACGTCCATACTGGATAGATCTTTGACTTCAACCTCGATCAGGTATCATTCTCATACTGAGCTTTCGATGTTGAATCTGAAAAAATATTTTCGAAAAGTTAGAAGAACGAAAAAGAAGAGAATGTGAGTTTGTTTGAAACCGAACGGATTTTTGAAATTTTATACCCTTCGAATTTTTTCAATTTTTCTTTCTTAAAGGAATTTTTAAAATAATTAAAACTACTGTTTCTTAATCAGCTCGACGAACTCTACGCAACCATGTATAATAAAACGAAAAATAAATTTTGCTTGAATTTTGAATTAGCGGCACCTTACTTTTCCTTGTACTTTCAATGCATTCGCCAGATTACAATATGCATCGGGAAAATTCGGTTGAATTTCAATAGCACGTCTATATGTTTCAATTGCTAGATCAATAAATCTAAATAACAAAACAGAATACTCACAATGTATAAACTGAAGAAAAAATTGAATTCATCGAACCATCGATGAATGATCGTATCCAAACTTACCCTTGTTCATAATAAACACATGCCAAATTACCATGAATAATTGGATGATTTGGAGCTTAAAATAAGGAGTTTGTGAAATTATGTAAATAATTCAATAGAGTAGCTAAAAATGGACTATTCACCTATATTTAACGCACGTAAATATGCCATAATAGCTCTAAACGAAATATATCCTATCAGACAGTCAACTTCAATAATTAAACCAACTCACCGATCATATATTCTCGCTTCTTTCAATACATTTCCCAAGTTGATATGAGCATCAAGAAAATTAGGATCTAATGCGACAGCCTTAGGATGAAAGTATAAGAGATGTAGACTAAGTTGAAAAAGTAGTAGTATTCTACCTTTTCAAAATGATGTATAGCAAGCCACGTTTCTCCTTGACAATTAAATATACATCCAAGATTACTCCAAGCTACAGCAAAATTTGGCTGTATTTCGATAGCTTTGAGATAACATGCCTGAAACATATTGGCCAAAAATATTCAGTACAACAAAATACATAATAAGAAAGACGCCAACGCATTTCTCATCTACTACGCCAACGCAAAAAAACGAGAAGATTAAGATTCCCAATTCTACCCAGCGGCTATTCTACACCAACGCATGTTAATTTATTATCTTTCTATGCCAACGCTTATGCCATTTTCTGTCCTTTTCATCAAAGAAGAGATATGTGTAAACTCTTCTTGTGCACAAATTTTTTTTCTTACATATATAATCGGTGTCGATATATACATCCTAAAATACGACGATTTCGGTGTTTCTATCAATGTTCAAAAAATTTATATAGATCAGTATGCTATTGCTTATATGTATATTATATAACATTCAAAATGGCACCTGCACCCTCTAAAACGAAGAGTACACAAAATGTTTTAGAAAATAGAGTCAATAAAAAAAAGAAGCCACAGTAACAAAAGGACTTATTAACAGATGCACAACTAATGATCTGAAAATGTCAAATAAAATAGTTGAGAAAAAAAAATTGGAAAAGATGGGCAGAAAACATCAAAAGCAAAGTTAACAATTGAAAAGCGCAGACATTTTTTAACGAAAAGAAGAGATATTTACATACTTTTGCTTCTTCAAGATGTCCAAGAGCTTTTAATAAATTTCCAAGATCATTACGAACACCATATAAATCCTTGAAGAAAAAAGATAGCATAGTGTAGTGTTAATAAAAGTGATCAACGTTGTTTTCTTTTGCTGTCAAAATTTCATACTGGATTATATTGTAGTGCTCTCGCATAGGCATTCACAGCGCCTTCCATATCTCCATTAGAAATGAGTGCTGCTGAATAATTAATATAACCTATAATATATGACGAAAGTGAAATATAAAATGAAAGATGTCACTAAACAATACCGTCAGTAAAATCAGGTTTGATAGCTAATGCTTTCCTATAATGTTCCAGTGCTTCCTTTAACATTCCTTTTTCCTTGTAAACATTACCAAGATTTGAATATGCTTCAGCTAAACGTGGATTCAATTTTGTTGCAAGCAAACTGAATGACATTGACCTAACAGAAACAAAAACAAGACTTATTGTCTGTCAAAAAATACAAAACAAAATCTCTCCATACTGATCATATCTTTTCATTTGAAAATAAATCGAACTTAATAATAATAGTAAACTTGTATTATCCGATTCTTGACGATAAAGTTGGAGACAATGTTGTTCAGCTTGTTCATAATTTCCATTTTGATAATCGCGATTCGCAAGTTCAGCAAGAGCTAATAAACGAATATACAAGAATGAAGAGAAAAAATAAAAATAAAAACACAAGCATACTTTGAAAGTCATAGACGGTGTCCGAGTTTTGATGATGATGATGGTGGTGGTGGTGGTGATGTTGACGATGAGAATGTTGCGCCGACTGACTTGATAGTGATGTTGGGTGAGATGTTGTTGTAACGATATTCATTGAACTATTTTGCTGAAGTGGAAGATCGGTCGAATATTGTATAATGGTCTAGTAAAAAAAGCGCCGCGCAACGTCATTCAAGTTTGGTATAGAATCTTTTAAGCTCAGATCTACATACCGAAGGGATAATTCATGAAAATCAGCAATGCTGAACTGTAAAATATCAGTAAATCATTATCGACAGACAGAACATAAAGATATGAAAAAATTTCTTTTTTCTGCTGCTTTATTTAATGACATCTGAAACAAACTATACAAATACTCAAGACCATGACCACAGATTCGCAGTGCTTTATAGAGTCTCAAGCAAAATTTGAGCTCTTTTCAACTGCTCTTGTGTAGACAAACTTCCATTTCAGACAACAGTTTCAAGAAAATAGAAGAGATATTAAACTATCTCAGTGCAAGACATTCTCGAGCAACTATATATCGTAACGTTCCTACGCCAAAAGAAAGAGTTTAGAAGAACGATTATTATTGCCAGACCGCTTTACAGAATCTGATGGACAAATTAAATCTAAGTTCACTTTTCAGCTAATCGAATTCCGTAAAGCTCTGCTAAATTTTGTGGTCGGAGCATGGCTATATTGTTTCCGAATCTTCCGTTTGACAAAAGAGATATGATGATGTTTGTTGTCGCTTTTTATTTTGATACGTTTTGTTTGGTACGTATCAAGTTAATTTAGAACTACTTATAAAAGCCTTTGTTTCTCTTTAGAAAACCTAGAATCGGTAACACTGAGCAAAAGCTAGGACTACGATTAGAGAGCGAACACTTTTTTTACTTCTTAACCTTCACTGTAACCAAGCATCAAGATCAGGAGGGGGGGGTGTTATCATGAAATTTCTAACTTTCTGCCCAAATCTTTGATGTGACATTTCGCCGCTGAAACGCGATATTGCCGAAAAAACTGTTTATGGCAAATTTTTGTGTTAACTTGCCATGTAGATATTTAATGAGACGAGTATATTTTTTCACTGCGAGAAAGTCTGTTTTTCTACTCTACGCATTTCACGTAGCATTAGTTAATTTTTAAAACTTTTTAGAACCTTTTTGTCACAATTTTTATCCTTCTCCTGGCCAAAAAACAATTGAAATCCCAAACTGTAACGATTAGCCCCTAGGACTTAACATATCTGAACTATATCGATTAGTATAGATTAACATTATTGAAATTATAGATAGATTGTATCACAAGCAGGCTTTCTAATGAGAATTTTGAGCAGCGCGTACATAAGCGTAGTAATTCGTGGATTTTATCGTTCTGTCTTTTCCTATTGGTTGATACTAAGCGTATTTTCAATTTAGTTCGCGTACCGTACGCTTTGGAACAAAGGCGTACGCGTAATGCTAGATCTGATCACAAGAATTTATTTTTCCATGTTTTACTTACAAGCTAATCGTTAGTCCAATCAAATCACTCAAATCAATCTTCTCTGTAACTATGCAATACAAAGTAGTGACGTAGCCAGGATTTTGCTAGTGGGTGGACGTTACCCCAAATTTTTCCAAAGTGGTAGAAATATAAGAAATTTTCACTTGATTTTCTGACACTTCCATATCAGAACCCTGCTGCTACACTTCTTCAGTAGTAATAACCCATTTTGCGGCACATAATCGATAATATCTGTCTTTTTTTTTAGAGGCCGTTTTTTCGAAGAAAAATGAAAAATACTGGAAAAGACCAAAACATCGCAAAAATTTTCGTTTTCCGAAAAATCTCTATAACTTTCCTTTGGTTTGTGCTACACACTCGCGGCTTTCAGATTTGAGTTCCGCGTTGAAAACTAATTTTAGATCAACTAATTTCCGATTCCTCAACCGTTATTTTGAATTTTAGCGAAGCTCGAAACAGGGAAAAGTCGAAAACTGAGACCTTGTTCTCAAAATCCCTACTAGTCTTTCCTGAGAAGGGCTAGCCTTTTGAATTATATATGGAAAGGTGGCCCAACTTTCAAGCTTTAAAAATATGAGAGAGTTTTTGAAAATAATGTTTCCTTGCTGAGATATTCTATTTTTCGTAAATCAGATGCGAAAAAGTCAGAATTCTGCCCGTAATTCTCGATTTTCTCTAGTAGAACTCAGTTTCTATGGGATAAAAACAGCATAGTCGGAATCAGGATCAAACACTGAGTGGAATGATGTGCATTTCGAAATGTTTAGTTGACTTTCATTTTTTTTGTGATAATTTTTCAACGAACCATAACGCTAGGATAGAAATACACATCATTCCACTCAGTGTTTGATCCTGATTCCGACTATGCTGTTTTTATCCCATAGAAACTGAGTTCTACTAGAGAAAATCGAGAATT